AATAATAATAGTAATAATTATTATATCTACTATATATATATATATAAATATATATATATATATGTATTATATTATTACATTCGTATATATATACATATATAATAATGTTGTATAATATATATATATATATAAACGTATATATATATGTGTGTGTTTATGCATATATATGGCTATGTATATGTATGTATATTATTATGTATATTATTATATATATATAAATATTACGATACACAAATACATATGTATACGATGTTATTCGATGAGATTCTCATGTAATAATGAAGTTCACCCATCATATTATACATTGGTATTGGTGCTAAAAAAATGTAATTTGAACTTGATTCGAGTATGATCTTTTTTGTCATGCAAGTAAATAGCTGCTACCAACGAACAAGTAACAGTATACAGTAAACACATCTATTTAACTCTAATATGATGATGAGCGCGTATAAACATACTGCGGTACTAGATACTGCGAGTAAAACTATTCGACCACGAGTTCCTACCTGCACGCGAGTAGTGAAGATCAACTTTATAGCTGAAAAATCTGTACGTATATAATAAACCATACATAGTACACAGTATAATATTGTAACACCATAATGAGGTAGGAAGCTTCTGAAAATATTCATGAAAACGCGGCCACTCATACTCGCAGCGCAACATACCGATTGACAATTTAATCTTCTCGAGTGCACCGTTTTCCATTCCAAGCCGCCAAACCCTGCAGGACTCTGGTGTCAGGGAGATACTGTATTTGCACTTTAGGAAATCTAATCGGGAGGGCGCTGATGATAAGTGTATGTCTTTCATATCCATTTGTTAAGGATTTGTAATGTCTTTGTAGTCTTCGAATATGTAGATAGTCTGATAACATCAGCTCACTACCCGATATAATATACGTTCAAAACAATGAAAACTACATAGCCCTCTGAATCCAGAATCATACAGGAAGGGAATGGGAGAAGGCCAAAACACAACACAAAAGTTTTTGTTTGTTTAAAAAAAACAAATCTCAAAAAAAAATTACAACAAAACAATTACAAATCCTGAAAAGTGAAAACCCCCAATGAAATCCAAATTTTAAATCAGGTCTCACTGGAGTGGTGGAGGCTGGTGGCTGGAGAGTGTAGTCCTCTCTCCTCACTCCTCACTCTCAGCCCTGCCAAGCTGCCACTGCCTTTTAAAATAAATAACATTGTCACATTGCTAGGCTGCCAGCAGCCAGCGACTGCAGGTTTGAGGTTGCACAATGCACTCTCAGAGAGTCCGGACTACGGAGTCATACAAGATGATATCCATTGGATTATTGGGACTATCAGAATTTTGAACTTAAAAAAAAAGGTGCTTGCTTTGTTGCTTTATTATTATGTATGATTGATATTTGTTTGTTACTTTATTATTTCGGCGTGACGCCGTGACGGACTGACTGACCAGCAGACCGTGACCTCTCTAGGCTCGCAGGCTCTCACCAGTCACCATCTGACTCTGAGAGGCTCGGGCTCTCTGACTCCGAGGCGTTTATGTGCCTGTTTTATTAGTGGTTTTATTTTACAGTATCTCACTATTTCAGTATTTGACATCTCATATAAAAATCTTACTTATTTATATGACTTAGTGTTTTCGCTGTTTTGAGAACTCTTAAGTATACCTTGAAGAAGCCTGCCTTTTTCGCCTGCCCTACTAAACCCTGCCTTTGGGCCTGCCTTGCCTTCACCCTGCCTCAAAGCCTGCCTTGCTCCTAATCCTGCATTTGTTCCTGCGGACTGTTCCTGGTTTCAATCAAAACTCTAATTTAGTATTTAATTCCTTGGCACAGCACTTGACATTTGTTATTTGTTAACACGGGGCTGCCGCTGTGAGGGCAGAGACCTCAGGCCTAATGGTCGAGGGATGTTCGGTTTGGCGTTTCTAAATAAATATTTATGTATGTATTTAGCTAAAAAAATAATTATTATTGCCTACACTGTCAAACATCTTCATTTTCGAAAAGTGTCCACAGTCCGTTCTGGATAAAAAACTGAACACTTTAAATAGAGGTAGACACTAGACACCCTTCGGTAAGGTAGACACTAGACACCCTTGGGTAAGGACCGACACTGCCAGGTACAGAGTTGGCCCCATATGAAACATTGATGTGAAGCTATTGAAGCTTCATATAACTTTGTAGCTTCGAGTTCATTATAACGTTCGATCTTTTTGTGCTTATCTGATGTATTATCTTCTTCATCATCTACATCCGATGTCGAATATTGATCTCCAGCTCCAGAGGATTAAATACCCAAAAATCTAGCATTCATAATCTCCAGGAAGACAATATTGTTGGTATTAAAACAGAGAAAGTCAGTAAAGCACAACCCACACTAAAGATACCCGTAATCACTGTTAATGCTTTCCTCCATAGTCTTTACCGCATCTGTATTGAATAATAATTTGCAAATTTGCAGATTCGTTCACCTCTTGCTCTAATTCTTTAACTGTTTCACTGTCACCTGGATGACAGTCTGGATCAGCTATAGCACAATAAGATTTAAATATACTCACAATACTATCGATGTATCGTTTCACAACATCCGTGAGTGTCTTGCAGTAATCGGCTGCGTAGTTAATCGACGAATCTTCCGGTAAACATGTAGATTCTATTCAGCAATGCGCTATAAAGCTAGTTGAAGATATTTGATCTCAAATTTGTTCAATTATTTTGTAAGAGCAAGATCGAGCATATTGGCTGGGTATCTGAATTGCAAATTGTGCTATCCTTTGTATCTATCATAATCAATTGAAATAGAATAAACGGACCTGTACCACACATAGGACCTACTAGATCCCTTATTAACGAAAAAGTGGACAATTAAAAAGAGGTTAACACCTATAGAGGTGCTTTTTTTATGTGTAGAAAAAGTAAAAACATACTGTTCAAATAATACAAATTCCCTGGCCTGGTATACGACAAAGACAAGTCTTCAAAGCAAACTAATTTACGGCCCGTCGCGATATGTCTTCTATATAATAGGAGAATACCATGACGTATATCGGACTTCTGACTGCAATAAAATCCATGACGTACCAACATGTCGTCATAGCGAATGACATAGTTTCCGACGGTCATACATAACATGACGTCTTAGCGGAAACTGCTGCCTTTTTTCCCCAGAGAATTTATAAAAACAAAAGTCAAAATCAAAAATGACAAAATGACTGTTGACTTGGCAGATCCTATTTTTTTTGGCCAATAATTTATTGCAATTAGATCTGAGATCTGAGGCTCAGCGATCTCGAACCAATCAAAACTGAAAGAATATATATATAACCATATTTGGTATCATTTATTTCTATGCTATATATCCGCATGATATTGGTCACTATATTTGTACATACTGAATCATGAATATCCTCGTAAATACCAACTAGTCAAAGGCGTCCGACACAGTTGAAAGTCTGACTATGAGCTCCTTGTCCTTTGAAAGTGGACATAGCCGAAAGTCTGTCTCACACTGGGCTCTTTCCCTGGACCACCTCGGAGCCCTCTCAAGATGCATATAAGCAGACCAGGCACCGAGACTGCAGTATCATCGACTGCAGACACTGAGGATAGATGTAATACAGCTATTTTGAAAAGTGATGCCGAACTCGCATTTTGAACTCGCGAGATGTGATAGCGTGCCAATAAACGCCAGCTCGAATCCAATTTTGGATGCAAACAGTGAGAATGGCTGGAATCAATATTGTAGCCAGACTAGGCACGCTGTTCCAAAACCACAATCTTGAGATTATAGTCCGGATTTTCCGGTCCAGTATGTCATCGGTCCAGAACGACATCATAGTGTCGCCATTTGAAAGCTTTCCTGAATCGCCTCACGAAAATCAATAGGTGTTTTTGCGCACTTCAATTCAATATTACAAATTGTATGCATACGTTCACGAACAACGCCTCATGACAAACAAATATACACAGATTTATTTTATATCAACTACAACCATATATATATATATATGTGTGTGTGTGTGTACCACTCATCGTGTCCAATTTAGGGTTTCTATACCTCCCCAATACTACCCCAAAAAACATTCATAACATTTCTCCATATCCTCCATATCCTCAGATAGATGGATGGATTAATAAAAAAAATCACGGTGGATGGTGGCATTTAAGAAGAGTCTGGTTATTATCTAGATCAGTTAGTTGCCTTCAGCTATAATTTTTTTTTAGAAATTTTGCCCTTTTTAGTTGCCTGCATATATACTTTTGAAATTTTGCCCTTTTATATAGAGTTCTGGTTTCCATCATAAGTATTAGTTATTCGTTGAATATTACATGAGTAGGACTATGGATGATGATAGTAGGGCACTCATATATATTAAGAGTCCGCTAAGGGCACATATATTGAGGGACTTCTGCCCGAACATCAGAATGCGCTGAAGAAAACTACTTCATACGACCCATATGCTATCAAATGATAGTGGGCACAGGGCACAATGGTATCACATACAATAACATTCAGACCTCATAACTGGCTTCCGTCGCCTTTATAGCCACAATGAGTGCATGTGCCAGTCATTCTTTCTCACGCTCACAATAGTAGTTGCTAATCATTCTCATGTGACAAAATCATAACTAGAATTATATGAAAAGCCTTGTTGTGTCCCACTTGCACTGTGACCAAGAGCGCATGAACAGCCATGGTCATGAACAAGCTTTCGTTTTTGGTATGTCTTTTTGAAGATGCTTAGAAGCACGCATCTTGAAATATTAGTGATTTCTTTATATGTGCGAGTCGTGCTTCGTTTGCGGTGAGCTTGCTCATCACGGCAAATCATCTCCACTTTATTGTGAAATATGTGTATTGGAGTCGTATACATCATTTGTTCAATATATTACATTTACTTCTCTATCGCAAATGTCGACATGTTTTTCTTCCATTTATTTACAAACTCTCATCACGTCAGCTTCGCGTAACTCGAAGGTGCCAGCTTGTGTTTGACATACTTCGCCACATACAGCGGTACACAGCTCACCAGTGTGATTACTAGGGTCTTCCACACAAACTCAGGACTAGTAATAAACCTGGTATCGAAGTAGTCTGTAAGTACAAACATAGACAGCACGTATATTCCCAGGGATAGCAGCTCAGATACTACCATGGCCCAATGCCACTTGTGTATGGTAAGTGCGACCATCAGCAGTTCAGTGAGGATTAGCGCTGTGAATGAGATGGCGACGATGTTGATGAAGTCTCCTTCGCCGAAGAGCAGGAGTGCACCCAGCATGATGATACCTCCCTGTGATGAAGTACATGTGTGGCCAAGTGTGTGAGGTGCTTATACCGGTGGATGTGCGGTCAGGCGTGTAAAGTTTATCCTGGTAATTCGAGAACAGACGTATATACAACACATGTGATCTATATGTTTAATCAGGGTTTGTTAAGTTTGTTGACCCCGCACAACATATACATTTACGTCCACTATGTTCTTTCTACCTGCCACAAGGTAGCTACTGCTTCAGCACACCAGGCAGTTCAACAATCAATTGCCGTCTATCGTTGCACAACGGGAAGAACCGATTCCCTCTTGATGGCTCTCGTCCATAGTCTACGACGCAAAACTTAAAACAAACCTACCCGAACGTTAATGCCACAATCTCTCAAAGCTTCAAGTGTAGAAATGTGATGTATTTCTGGGTACAAGGTACACGAACACAGTCAGCTGGTAACCCAATACGCACGAATGAGTATCAATTTCTACAAACCGTGTGTGCCGCCCACTAATAGCTGCCAAATAATATGCAACCAGCAAGTGTGTAGAAAGCCACCACTGCACTAGAACTTCTACACACCGATATATATGAATACCAACCTATACAACGAGGGAAGGATGCGCATACCTGATAAGTACTTATAATAACCCAGCCAATGAACGTCTTGAGTGTGAGCGACCGGCCCTTCGTCAGATCATTATACAGCTCTGGGTACATCATTGCAATCTCGCTGGACACATCTTCATCCAGCACAAGCGAGAACACGGGAAACATTGTGTAGACGGTCGCGTATCCCACCATTAACAATCCCTGTGCAACAACCGATTTCCTTCGACATTAGACGATCAAGTTGAACGTAGAATTGGACACAGGGTTGTAGCGTCTTGTGAATCTCACAAATACAGCAATCGACTAGATGAACATGCATGGTATTCATTCTGATAGATGGATTTTGCGCATGTAAAATGTTGTAGTATGATTTGATTTTAATCGAACTACGTCCACTTGACTGATGACCACAGAACCACTTGCAGGTGTTGAGAACATACATGCACCTCTATACCACACAACTATACCTGATACAGCGCAATGGCAGAGTAGTAGAACACTGCGGAGAAGACAGCCTGGATAATCGATATGATCAGACCACGGTGTATAATGAACTGCGCCAGAGCCGACGATCGTTTGTAACTGTTGCGCCCGTGCCACAGAAACAGCCGCGACACGTGCTTGAACTTGGTGATGGAAAAGTCGGCTGCCAGAGACGCTTGCTTGCCTTCTTTGCCCACGATCCCTATATCCAGAAAGATCGGAGAGTGTGCGTAAGTAGAGTGATATTTACATCGGTCCAGCGAGTTGTAGTACCTCAAACGGAAGCTGTGCCGAAGGAGGTATTCATATTGCACTATTTACAGTCCACGCATTGCATCTCAACAAAATTTCCTACAATGATGGTGGCGAATATGCATTGATAATATATATATATATATATAATAAGGCACGCTTGTGGACACACAAATAACTTCCTGTCGTCTGGTCACCTTATAAACAATGCCTCCCGAGGATTTGGCAATATATGTGAGTACGTATCTGGATAAGTACATACAATAGATGTACACACACTTCATTGACGGATTATACGTCTTCACAGCATCTACAGTCGTATTCTGCAGCTCGTGTGGACAAAGCCTGTGCGACACGGCACCCATAGTGTTAGTCGACAATAACTCCTGCGTGTGTTTTAAGCGGGCGTCATACCAATCCCCACATCGGCGGCTTGAATCATCGATACGTCATTACCTCCATCCCCGATGCCCGCACAGCGCAACTGTGAGTCGGAAATTAAGATATGTTTTTATATATATACAATAATGAGACAGTTTTCTGATAAATACTACCAGTATATGGACATACTTGTACTATTTGTCGTCCATTTTTGAATAGTTGATAACGGTCAAGATAAAAATAGGATCATATGTACAGTCGAGCATGCACTCACCGTTGCCCTACTTTTATTAAACTGTCCGTGAAGTATCTCTATCGCATTCCATACATGAGCTGCTGGGACGCTTATACAACAAATCATCTGCTTGAACCCCTCACATCACCCCCGGTAATGTTTCAAGGCACACAATAACCTCCAATGACTTACGTAGCAGACTTATTTACATAAATACTTTAGATATACTCATATATACATACA